ATCTTTTTCAGCAGCAAACGCCGCAGTTCGCTAAACCGCCGGCCACGCCAACAGACAGCGGGGATTCCGGTTGGCTGGGGCCTCGTGGAATCGGGCGGCGGCGGCGGCTTGCCTTTCTGGCGAACTACATTTCCCGTGAGCCTCAGAGGGTGGTGCATTTTTATGAGGTCACCCTCTTCCCCTCCCACTGTTGTCTCTCTCTCTCTCTCGGTGTCTGTGTGGTGGTGGAGCGGCTGCTGCTGCTGACCCAGAGGGCTGGAGGCTTGCTTCAAGAGAGGCTGGTGGCTCGGATTATTGTCCTCCATCCGCCTTGATCCCAGGCACAAAAGAGGGCGAGCGGCTTCGGTTTCCCGGCCCCCGGGGGAGCCTCGTTCCCTCTCGCGTCGCCTCCAGCCGCCGGCGTCTTGTGCCGGAGCCAATTTCGGGATTATTTATACCGCCTCCCCCCCCTTCTGCCGCCGCTCTCGGTTTGCATTTCTGTGAGGGTCGCTTCCCCCCCTCCGGTGAGGATTGATTGATTTGATTACCGTTCGGCGGGCAGCGTCGGAGGTTTTTTTCTGCCTGGCGGTGGGGGCTTCCAGCCAGAGGAAATCGCAATAGAGAGAAAACGCCACTTCATTCGTGCTGGGTAAGTGTACTCCGGATTTCAATCCGGTGTAAGGGTAAGGCGGGGAGGGAGAGAAGGGGGATCGGCGAGGAGAAATCGGATGATGAAAAAGGAAAGGCGGAGGAAGCCTCTGTGTTCTCCTCTCCCCACCTCCAGATTTCTCACTCGTTTTCTTCTCTCCCTCCCTCCCTTCACCTCCTGATTTTATCCTCCGCGTCCTGGTGTGTTTCTGTTTAGGGTTGTGTGCATGTTTCTTTGTCCTCCTCCTCCTCCTCCTCAGAGGGGAAACTGCCCGAGTTCAGCCGTCCCACATATCCTCCTCTTCTCTTCATCTTCCTTTGGCAAAAATCTGGCACTGTTGTTGTGGGAGCTCTTTGTCATCGAGCTCTCTGCTGCGAGGAAATCTCGTTTCTCCTTCCCCCCCCCCTCCCCTCTCT